ATCAGCTCCGTGCCGCCTTCCACCGTGGCATATCCTTTCAATGGAAAGGTGGGGTTTTGGGGTTCCAAGAAGTCTAAACGAGTCTAAATCAATAGCCTCCTTCAAGCCTTTATGCTACCTAAACCTTGGCTGAACAACCAGGTACACAGAAGTGCTCCGAGCAGCTATGGAGCCTCCAGGCCACAGGCCCCACCTGCATGGCAATCCAATGGAGGTCTGAAGCCTTACAAACTTCCGTACAATCTACACCCTGGGCCGTGAATGTCGCTGATTTATACGCCCCCTGTCCTTAATAAGGGCCTATGATGGGATCCTAATCTTCCGGCCGTACAAGGGTGGTGAGGTTCACACTACTTCGGTTTCAGAGCTTTTTAGTCTAGTGAACTAGTCAACGAGGTGCTTTTGTACCTCACCTGGGAAACTCAAACAGGTTCAAGTTTCAAAGTGACGGTTGCGGCAACTCCACTTGGGCCAGTCGCTCAAACGTGCCAAAACATATGATGCTTCAGTAACGGTAACGCAGATCTCCGCCGACCCCCAGGGCGGCGCCCGGAAGTTGTGTTTCACCGTCCCGGAAACCGATTGCCCTTCCACAGCGACCACCTGCACGCGGCACCCGGCTGCTTGTCTTGGCCATATAGTGGGGTATCGTAATTTAAGTCGAGCCCAAGGCAGGCCCAGCCCTCATGCCCCCCAGCGCCCCAACCGCCCTCAGCGCCCATGCATGCACACGCCGACCCCTCACAGCCCATCTGTTCATGCTTGAACTCACGTTGCACCTTGTTTAACTGCTGCACGCTAGCCCACTGGTCTTGCATGCAGTCTGGAAACTCTGCTGTTGCGTGTCCTGCTGCTGCGCCTGCATGCTCTCTTCAACTCGCGTGCTGCTGCGACCCCTGCTGCCGGGGTCGGTGGCAGCGGAGCAGCCCTTAAATAAAGGTCCTTCATACAGTTAGGTCTTGACCTGAAGCCTCACAAGATAAACTGATCCGATGCCCAGTCGCGACGAGGGCGTCCAGAAGCAACCCGGCGGCCAAAAGGCGCACCAAGACTGCGAGACTGCTCCTCGACTGGCTCGGGCTTCGGCCAAGGGGGGGTGGAGCTTCAGACGTACATGCTTTGCAACCACGAAGATGTTGTTCTCTTCAGAATCGTCTGGGCAACATGTCCTAATAACCCCAACCCAGACCCGTTCAGCAGCATATGTGCCTAAAGCTGATGTGGCCGGCCTGCAATGAACAAGGACACCGACAACAAACGCGGCAGCAGCAGCAGCAGTTCACCATCACGATGTTCAGATCAACAGCAGCGCCAAACCCACCATTGCCGCCACCGCCCACCAGCCCCACCCCCACGTTGGCCCCGGCGCGCCACCACCACCACCGCCACCACCACCGCCGCCGCCACCACCACCACCACCAGCAGCCACAACAACAAGCATCCAAACGGGCAGAAACTCTGTGCAGTTGATTGCTATGACGATATATGTTGGTAGACTGACACAGTCTCGATTGCCCCGGCCTGAGGCCCGTGTAGCATCTGGCAATACCCAGGGATGCCCTTCCATCCTGTCAGATGTCGAGACTTTCCCTCCGGACCTCTAGGACCAAACCATGTATAACGAGGCTTTGACAGGATTGGAGCTCTCAGTCTCTGGCAGCAGAAAACGAACAGATCTGATCTCCAAAGCTGGTACCACCCGTATCCTTCAGGTATCAGGTCGCTCATTTTTGGTTTACTATAGCCTGGCTCCCAGGCCCTACAGAGGCTCCTGGAAACATAAACTCCCAAAATGTTGAGGTCTCAGTTTCTCCGGATCCCAAGACCGGCCTTCGGGCTCTCCTCGCTGGGTGCCTCGATGTGTTGACCCCCCTTCCCGACAAGCCCTCAACCCTACATTCGATGGCATGCGGCTTCGGGCTGAATGCTTGGTTTAAGGGGTCCTAAGGCAAGCTAACTATTTGGTAACCCATACAAGCCTGGTCTGTCTTCAACCTCGGAAGTCGTCCTGACATAAAGAATCACATACATAAACCCTATGGTAACCGGGACTGACTACGACTAAGGTTGCGAACCCCAAAGCAGAAAGTGGAGAATACAGTGCATAACTGCATAACCTTCAGTGCACTGGAGGGAGAACGCAAGGAAAGACTTTTCGGCTTAACGCAAGCACACCCGGGAGACTCGACTCGCAACTTGGCGGACCGGGGCGGCTGTAGGCTAGGACCGGACTAAATCGCATGCGCCTTGTCTGGAGTTCGGCGGCAAGCCGTAAGCCTTAAAGCCTTAGACTCCTTAGACCGCGCTGGACAAGTCCAGGTCGCCATCTTCGTCCTCACGTGACGCGTGAGAAACCTCGGCCGGAGGGGCCCTTGGACTCAAAAGACACATAGCCCCATGCGCATAGATCTGTCCCTCCAGGTATGTGGATCCTAGCTGCCAGGATGCCAAAAAAAAGGGGACCGCCCATGTTCGAAAACTCCTATCTTCCTGCCTGCATCAGTTGGAGGGTGAGAGTGTGTAATCTGCCCCAGTGCACTCGGCTGGGGCACCAGGTTTACTGCCATTCCGATTGTCGAAGGGGTGTGCCAGCACCGGAAACAAGGACAAAGAAGACCCTTAACAAAATGCGGCGTGAACCTGCGTCAGCCGGGAAATCCTTGATCTCTGCCCGGAGACATCTGGCACACGTGCACGATGAAGGCAGCGCAGAGTAGGGCCAACAGAATCGAAGCCTCGAGCAGAAACTCGGGTTATGTGTTAAGACAGGCTTCAAGACTTCGATATTTTTGACAGGGCCTTTAGAATGCCCTTTCCTAGCGCCGTACTGAAAGCAAGGCATGCAGCAGGCTTCAAAATCGGGCTTGGAGCAAGATGACGAAGTTATATCTGACAGGCACAGAAGATTTTGCTTCGAAAGGCGAATTGTGAGCACCGTGCGATGCGCGTGTATATATATATGTATGTATGTATGTATGTATGTATGTATGTATGTATGTATGTATGTATGTATGTGTGTATGTGTGTGTATACAAATAAATAAATATATATATATATATATATATAGATAGTGTACATATATACACATGTAATCTACATATATATATATACATACATATGAAGAGAGAGAGCGAGAGAGAGACAGAGAGAGATGGAGAAGGATAGAGAGGGAGAGAGGGAGACAGCGAGAGCGAGCGAGAGAGAGCCGAGAAAGAGGAACAAAAACGCCTTAAGCCTTAAGCCTCGACTCGCTGTCCATACCAGCCGTCACAATCACAGCCGCTCCTGCTTTCAGAGGTTCTTCAAGCGGTTTGCATCATCCTATAACCAAGCCCCATAAAGCTGTAGATCGGCAGGGAACTCTCTACCCACCCCGTGCCACCTGCTTCTGCGCCGAGCTCTTTCCGAGAATGCTCAACACCTGCAAGTCTCAATGCGTCGCCGATGGAGCTCGGGTGTCGGTAGCCGCGTGGTTGGAAGTTTCCAAGTTCCAGGCTCGGCGGTGCGAGCTTCACATGCTTCGGGGGTGTATCAGCCCACATCCTCAAATAGTACTTTGGAAGACTCAGACCTGCGCATCTATCAGCACTGAGCCTGGCTCCAAACATACGTCCTCTTGAAAAGGAAGGCCATTCTTCGGAATGGCTTCTGGCTTGGGGATCTTGTGGGGTTTGCCACCACCGTACTACCGTGGGAACGAGGACGCAAAAGCTGAGGTGCGCAAACTTCGCAAAGCAGCTGATGCCTCTACACAAGGCAGGACCCATGCTCCTAAGAATGTGATGAATGAGTACACAACAGGATTCTGTAGGATTAGGGGCCGCCGATCCCTGGAACATACAGCAAGTGCCTCTGTGTCCGGCTGCAGAACATCTTTGCAGAACTCGGCCCTGATCCACGCAGTGGAGGCTTCGAGTCGGGATCCAGGAAGGTGCCTACTCAGTTTAATGCACACGCCTTGAAGCCCAGGCACCCAACTTTCAAATTGCCCACAACAAAAACTTACTAGCAGGCGGGCTTCAAGGAGATATAGGTTAGCCCGCTTTCGAAAGGGGCCCGCACCGACAGCTCTTGGTTCCAAAAAATCCGTGTGAGCACGGCCTCATCTCAGCGCCATACCTCGGCCAAGGACCCTACATCCAAATTCGCCGTGGGCTGAAGCGCTCTTAATCCCGTCTCCACTAACCCCCACTTTAGCAGTCACCACCTCACCCCCTCACCACCGAAAATGAAAGTGCAAAACAACTCGCGCCCGCCCCCTCTCCCTCCCCCCTTCCCTGGGCAACATTCGTCGTCTAGTGCACCCTGGACTCTGGACCGGGCCGAAGCAAACGACACGGAGCGCAGAGCTCCTTTTGCTCCGCATGCGGACAAAAGAAGCAAGCTTCTTATCGAGGCTTTATGCAGCACATATATAAGACTGTCCTCGGCAAGATCCACGCCCAACCCACCATCCTCACTCTGAACAACAAGTTGGTAAAATCGGCCCAGACGCAGCATCTCGATGACTTGCACGGCCGGCAACAGGAAAAGGCAAGATATCGATAACGGAGCCCTTCGGCGATTTGAGATTCACGGCCCACTGGTGGCTTATGGGTTCAGTTGGGAGTGTGTTCGGTGCAGGAATCCCAGGGACGTGTTGGGATTCAGTTCGAGGAACTGCTTGGTGCCCTCGCAAACGAATCTGGAGCTGGCAGCGAAATTCGCCAGGGGTTCGTGTCAACCATCCCTGTTTCTTCTCCACCTGCATCGAGCCTTCTAGGCGTTGAGTTAAGGGCTCCAGCGCTTGAGGCCTCGTCGCAGCAAGACCCCGCATCATAAACTCCGAATAAATGCAGCCCAAGCCCATTTCAAGCAGGGATTCCCAAACTCCGAGGTCAAGACCCCACCGTAAAGATTGTTCGAATCGCAGATTCCCTTTAAGACCCACATCCTGTTTGTTGCGACCCCCCGTAGGCCGTAGACGAACAGAAGCCGAACAAAACAAGCAACACAGAAGCCTCAGCACTGTGCCAGCTCCCACTGAAAGAAGCAAGAACAGGTCGCAAATCCGAGGCAAGGCTCCGGAGCCCTCCTGCCGAATAGGACTTCGCGAACCGTGGAGGTGGAATGAAGGATTCGCGTCTGTGCTGGTACCATGGCAGAAGACAGCGGACTTGCTGGTAGATTCTACAGGGTGACCTTGCACTTAAGCAAACACTGACACACACACACACACTCTCTCAACGCCTGAGCTTCAATTGCACTACCGACCTGGCTCTCGGGCGCAATGTCTGCAACCTCCTGCCCCATGTCTCTGTTGAGGTAGGGAGTGTTGTACTGCATTCGCAGCATCCTGGGCTTGTCTTAGCTTCGAAGTTCTCAACCGTGTGCACCCGCGATTAACGCTTTCGACAAGGACTCTATACTCGTGGGTCATCAGGGTTAGCACGAGCTCGATAAAAAAAAACACAGCCACATAGTCACTACTTTAAACTAGGCTGAGGTCCATTCAGGATTCCCTCTGGAGCACTTGCTTAGAGCAACCGCCCATTCCCAAATGCTATGCTAGAAGTCCCGCTGCAGCATCTGCTCAACATCGGATCCTGCTCCCAATTTGGACTTCAGGGTCGTAGTGCAGGAGAGACATCCGTGGACTCACAAATTGAAAGGCTTTTCTGTTGCGCCTTCGGTGCGTTCTCTGTGTCTCTCTGACTATCGATCTGACAGGCATAACAAAAGGGGAAGCATGCTGCAAATCCTGTGCCCCGCAACGACACAGCGCACTCCCTACGTGCACCATAAGTATGCTCGTTGCAGAATGCGTTGAACCTCGCAGGGCTGGTCCACTAGCAAGGCTCAAACTCTATGGGTGAGTTCCCAGGATTGAATTCAGCCTCACTTGTCACTCACCTCAAACGAGAGAGAGAGAGAGAGAGAGAGAGAGAGAGAAACACACACACACAGACAGACACAGACACAGACACAGAGACAGAGACAAACACAGACACACACACACAAACACACAGACACAGCTTTGTTGGCAACGGTGCCAGTGCATATCCGACCTTGCCTGGTTGAGCACGAACTTGATATGGTGAATATGATGAGGGTGGTGATGGTGATGATAAC